GATACAAGACCAGAGAACTCTATACTACTCCATATCAAAACATATCCATACTATATAGACATACTCATGAGAGTACGTACTAACCTAGTACGTTTTAGATACAACGCAAGAGATCCAAACAAGCACACACAATAACAACAACAACAACAATCAAGAACAAGAAGTTAGAACCGAACCAGAACAAGAAATGTTTTAGATACAAGAGTGGGGGACTTAATTGCACGGTTGTTTGCCTTCTGCAGGTCAACCGAGCAGATTGAGTTCCACAATGGGTGAACTTGGCACTAACGATCCGTTTCAAACGTACAAGCCCCTCCCACCGCTGAGGAGGTCGGCCCCATCGCGAATGAGAACCTCCTATTACGTAGAGACGGATAGTGCGTTCGATTCGGAGAGTACGGATGAGGAAGGTACGAGCGAGGATGAGGTTTCGGTGCATGCTTTGTATGAGCTGTGTAATCCTTTAAGTGTTTGCCCTCTCGTTGTTTGTTTGACTGTTCTGCTGCGTATAGTGTCGTATAGTGTTTACTCAGGTACTAACTACTCAAATCATGTGTTGTCAATTGGGTGTTGTACTATTGGATATTGTTTTCTATGTGTGCAACTGTGCATGCTCTCGGTAGGCTTTAATTGTTTTACATCTATGATGAGAGCAGGTACATATGTGACCCGCTCCAGCAAAACCAGGAGTAAGTCGGAAATTCTACAAATTGAGTTATGTGCATATCTGAATAGATCATTTAATTACCTTTAAAATGATATATAATATTTGGCTATATCTAAAGAATTGCCCGATCTACAGCAATTTGAAGATCGGAAACCGACTTATTCCGGAATATGCAGCTTTTGAGATAAAGCGTTCCGGGTAAGGGGCCCAGTCGGGGATGAGCGGGCAGGGGCCCTTACAAAATATTTTTTTTAATTAAAAATGACCATAATAATCTAGAGATATCTGAACCTATATATCCGGATTAAATATACAATTAGGAAGTTATTTTTGTAAAAATCTCATTTTTGTCCAGGTAGGCCATTTTCAGCATTGACATGTGTTCGTGCTCATTACTCAAAACAATAACTTGCGACTTAGTCCGTATTATGCTGGAGCGGGTCACATAT